ATGGGCATGGCGTCGCCCACTTATGGACCAAAAACCATATCTCAGGAAGTACTCAACCGATTTCAATGAAATTCGGTATATAATATTTTCTTAACACCGTGATGACATGTACCAAATATGGGTGAAATCGGTTCACAACCACGCCTGAAATCTCGATTATCACTTTATCATGCGATATCAGAGTATAAAATGTTCGGTGACACCCGAACTTAGCCCTTCCTTACTTGTTTTTTTTTTTTGTTTTCTAATAAATTTTTGTTCTTACAAAAGTAGTACTACGGCATTATTATAGAATATGTTGGCTTGAAGTCACGAAAATTTCAAACAAAAAATTTCATTTCCAAAGTTATAATAGTTTGTGTTGGAACAGCTCCAAAAAAAAGGTACGTGCGGTGACAACTATAAGTCCTTGGAGATTCATCTAAAATCAATCGGACAATAAAATAAATTGTTTTATAAATAGATAATCCTGGGCCTGATCGAACGAGTTTTTTTTTTCAAAATTAGCAAACAAGCGGCCTCAGGAATTTTTTTCTAAATTTTTGGGAATAAAATCAACAGTTAATTGGCCTTAAAAAATCGAAATTTTTGAAAAAAAAAATGCTTCGATCTGGCCGAGTTTATTATGTACTCTAAAAGCTGTATAAATTTCATTAAAATCTACTGAGCGGTTATCGAGTTACAGTTGTCACCAGTTCAAAAAACATAGTTTTGAGAAAAACGCGTTTAAAGTTTCTCCCGAGCGCTTTGAAGTGCCCGTGCTCTCTTTGTTATTTGTCAAACAACTCAAAGCTAATTATCGTATCAACGTGAAGTTTTCAGAGAATATATTTATGATACTGCACTTAAGGAAAACAATTTTTTTCTTGAAAACTCTGATTACCCCTAACCAAGTAATAAAGTGAAGTTAGCTTCCAGAGAAGCCTGTAAAAATTATCTGTCGCAATTTTTCGCCGAGAAACCAGAAAAGCTTTACCCGGAGGGAATAATGTCTCCAGCGGAAAATTGACAAAAATTGATCGAACAAAATGGTACATATTTGGTTCTTAACAAATATAAAGAAATAAATCGAAGTTTGATTAGAAATGCGAAAATACTTTTTCGACTGCCCAATATATTATATTATATGTTTTATAGAATATCCGACGTTTGCTTCTGGTTGTTACCAAAATTGTAACAAACTTAATGTATCCTGTTCAATGTGTACAATTAAATTAAATATTATTAGTTACGTACCACCGAAAAACAAAAAAAAAGTTAAAAAGTAAAAAAATTAGTAAAATCACGTCAGCAAAATCAAACACACAGTGATTTGCCAATTATAGTATTTTCTAACCAAAACTCATTGAGCACTAAAGCGTTAATTTCGAAAATGCCATTTCCGTGATAACAGTAATTTATGCCCAACAAATACGGATTATGAGAGAAATTTATGATTTCTAATCAAAATTTGGCTATCTGCAACAGTTTTAAATTTGCAATATCTCACCCGTTTCCGCTGTATTGACTTATAAAAGGTTGCGCTGAACTCAACGCAGTCACAGTGAATTCACTTAACTCAAGCAATCAACATGAAATTTCAAGTTGTCTTAGCACTCCTTGTGGCTGCAGCCTCTGCAACTCCGGTCTACGAAAAGACCGCTTTCATCGAGGACTTACCCGAGTCTCCAGTTTTGGGTGGACGCATCACCAATGGTGATTACGCTTGGGATGGTTTGGTTCCCTATCAAGCTGGTTTACTGTTATCGAAGAATTCAGGCAATTACTGGTGTGGTGGTTCCTTAATTGGCTCAAATTGGATTCTGACTGCCGCTCACTGCACAGATGGGTAAGTTACAGTTTTTAATCAACTAAAAGAAATGAAAATTTTCAATTTAAAAATGTTCCCTTTCATCATTACAGCGCTCACASCATCACCGTCTACTTAGGTAGCGTTGTGCGATCTAATGGCAACCAATATGCAACCACCATCCACTCCCAGGATATCCACCAGCACCCCAATTACAACTCTAATACTCTGGATAACGATGTCACTCTCCTGTGGATCCACTCTGTCTCGTTCTCTGGCAACATTCAAGCCATCAGAYTGCCATCTTTCAACCAATACAGCAACTATGAGGGTCAATGGGCTACCGCATCGGGCTGGGGTGGCACTTCGGGCAACAACCAAGACCATTTGCAATACGTCAGTGTTCAGGTGATCTCCAACAGCGAATGCGCTAGTGTCTATGGCAGCAGCACTGTCACTGACAACACCATCTGTGTTTCCACAAACGGCGGACGTTCGACTTGCAGTGGTGACTCTGGTGGCCCATTGGCTGTGGACAACAACCAAGTGTTGATTGGTGTGACTTCATTCGTTGCTGCCGCCGGTTGCACCGCTGGTCTGCCATCTGGTTTCCAACGTGTCAGTCGCCATTTGGACTGGATCCGCGGTGTCACCGGTATTGCATACTACTAATATCAGTGATGGATTTTGTATATATAGAAATGTGACTTAATAAATTTTCAATTTGGAAGCGTTAAAAATAATTGATCATAGCATTTCTGTTTGTGAAGTGTATTTGATTTTAGTCCCCTCAATCTTTAAAGATAGTTGATTTTTACACACCCGAGTTGTGTTCTACTTTTTCCTCTCTCGTTAATGAGATATGAGGTGGAAAAATTTTTCTGAAGTGATTATGAAGGATCAGTAGAGGTTTCTGAGGAGAAGAGTGAAAATGATTTTTAATTGCAAACGCTCGAAGGAAAATTTTTAATAAATGTTCGCAACACTTCTGGAAGTGCATATTTTAGTCAAACCCTGTAAAAATGCTAATATTAAAGTTTTCTTTTTCTGGTTCTTCGACAAATTTAACTTTGTTTACAGATTTACACGCACTGGTTACGATTTTTCTTTGTGAATCGAAAGGTTCTTAGATACAACTGTATACAATATATTATATTTACATAGCGGGACATGTGTGCTTGCGAATGTCTTGTTATATCGCTACTTGCATAAATATGCCTTT